TCTTGTGAGGATGACAGAAAAAAGGGGGAGGAAGACCCCGCTTTTTCCGGTGCTAACCACTTTCACGAGGTGTGAAATTGGTGAAATCGCACCTGTTATGTTGTGTATTTGTAGTTCGGGACAGTACGGGTGAAGCCCGGCACGAAACAGAGGTGCTGTATAAAAGGAGCTGAACGTATTGCTGTCGAGTTCGTACAGATTTGTATTTGCATGATTCGCGCAATATTTCCGTGGCGTGACAGCTCCCACTGAGTGGCTGGAAGTCGGAAGCTGACAGTAGGTTTTCATAAAGAATGCGGCAGAACATCAGAGAGGCGGGTGTTTCAGCTAACGAGCAGCGGTTACCTGCGGACTCTCTCCTGACGACAGAGCTCACCTAACGTACCTGGCATCTGCACACCATGTCCGCGTCCTGTGCCAGCAGATCCACAACTTTCCCCTTCCCCTCATCGCCCCACTGAGCGCCGAGTACCACGGTCACTTTGTTGCCAACCGTCGGCCTGGGTATCCGTGTCTTCGGGGCTTCCTGACTCCCGCTGTCCGACATTTCAGCTCGGTCCCTGGCTGTCTCCACTCCTCACCGACCTAGACTGGAGGAACTACCAGCAACTGACCCGAACCGGAAACATGGCTTATTCTACGCATGTGCGAAAAATTCTTCTTCCCAGTCCTTTCACAATAAAATGGTGAGATGGTTAAATTTAGTACTTTATTATTCTTTCCTATAGCAAACTTTCTAAGCTCGCACAATGTTAATATTCCTATATTTGTTTGTTTGCGTGATGGAAGTTTAAACAGAAAGAAAGAAAGAAAGAAAGAAAGAAAGAAAGAAATATGTTCTTTAAGTAATTTCCAAAAATTCCAGTAGATTCTTAGATTTAGAAAAGATTACATTTTTCCTCTTAATAAATATATGCATGTTTTGATTGCCTGGAGGCTAATATATGAGGAAGTTTAACAGTTAATAACACACTTATTACTATTTTGGTAAAGACTAATTTCATTTTCTCAATAAAAGCTGGAGAAATACTTGCGCTGGGTGCATAAAGTACGTGTCTAAATAATTATGAGTTTAATGGGAAGCACTTTATTAAACTTATTATTATCATTGTTGGTGTTTAATTGTAATAACATAACAACTTTATTTGCAGATTATCCCACATTATGCCACAGTGGCCATAAAATAAATCATGACCGATCACATTTCACCAGAGAGTGCAAGTCATTGAGCTGATAATCTCTCGTCTTTAATCTGTGATCGAATACATGAACTTACATATTAGACATGAAGGCTGTTTGAGCTAGCGGTACACTCTGTGCATGAGTCTGAAATCGCAATTAAGATACAGAAGTTTGGATTGAAAACCCACAAGGACCTCTGCAGCTGCAGCTTCAAACCACAGTGGAATAAGTCAAATAAAAACACGTGCAGTATTGAGCTTTTAAAGTTTTCAGAATCTGACTGTAAGCAAATATTCTGCAGACTTCAGTCCTGCTAGTCAAGGAGTGAAATAAATAGAAACACTAGCAAGCTTTTCATTAAAACTAAATTAAAACACACTTACGCGCAGTCTTGTTGTACTGCATATGAGATGTTTTTCTTATTATTCAGCTCCCTCTGCTGGTGATCATAATGCATGCAAGGCCAATATCCCTGGAGCATTACTGGAGCCATGTTTCATGTAAGGTAAACTAGATATAAAAACCTTTATATGAAGTCAGCTATTTACATTTGGTTGAAACTGTTTCCTTGACAAAGGCTCAGCAATGAAAAGAAACCTAAAATAAAACAATATAAAAGTATGTCTGCAATTTGCCTAGTATTTTTAGACAAGTCTAACAGTTTACCTGCTGCAGATGGACATCAGCGGTGCCAGGTACAGCTTACATCATGTCCCTTTTGTTTCCTTTGAGCTCAGTGTGGGACAGATGGTCAAGTGGGTAGACAGGAGAGCACAGTGTGGGAGCAGTGGGCCCAGGTCACGACTCAGACTCTGTGGAGTCAGTTATAAATTAATGCTACAAAGGTTTTTCACTCTGACCTTGGTTTATGGAATGAAACAACAATGTGGATTTATTAATTTATTAATCGAGACTCACTGGATGAGTCCTCTAGTCAGGCTGGCATAAATCTTTCAAGTTCCTACCTGCTGACAAATACCAGCAACAAATAGGAGAATGATGTGGCAGTCAAAAATACAAAGAAGTGATACAATAAATCTAAATTAATAGAATCTGGGGACATGAAATTTACTTGACTTACATGCATTTGATTTATATTTTAGCACATTTCCCTAACTAAACATTTGATTTTATACACTTTCATTTTATTGCTTCATGCTTTTCAACTTTGATGCACCAGAGGCACCCCGCACCAGGGCTGAGCCCCCATGCACCCACCCGCACACAGCCTCAGCGACACACTAACCAGGACCCAAGCCCCCAAGGCCCAGCCAGAGCCCCAGCCTGGAGACGGAGCACCCCCAGAACCCCACGCCCGCCCCGGACCCACTCTGGGGCAGCCAGGCTACCAGGTCAGTAACCCACATCCATCAGCACAGACCATCCCCCAGCCCCGCTGCATGCAGCCACGAGGAAACCATCATCTAAGAGCCACCAGAACCCGTAACAGGTCATGACCACAACCCTGGGTTGAGCCCTCCAAGGAAGACGCTCCTAGGGAATCCCCCGACGCCCCAAGCCTGTCCCTACCTCAACACCAATCACAACAGTGAAGGTCGGACCAAACTACGGCACCCCACCTCCACTAGGTGATGGAGCTGATCAAAGGAGCCCAGAGCGATTGATCTGATGTGGTGACAGAGGCTGTATCAAGACTAATGTAATCTAATAGATAATTTCTATATTGGTTAGAATTAAGATTATTTTTATTTTTCCAGGTCATGAGGACTGTTTTCTTGGCAGTGAAAACCATAGGGCAGTGAAAACCATACGGGCTATATTCTTTTCTGTAGTGACATAATCTAAGCTGCCCAACGAACACACTAAAGGGGAAGTCGGAATGTTACATTTCAGACACTTCGATACGTCTTCACATATCTCGCGCCAAAACTTCTGAACTGAGGGACAGAACCAAAGAGCGTGGATATAATTGTCCGGTGAATTGGTTTGACAGTGTGAGCAGCTGTTGGAGGACATAAAGCCCATCTTGAACATCCGATGACCTGTATAGTGTACTCTATGTAATATTTTGTATTGAATTAACTGAATACAAAGTGTTACAGAAAGCAATCTGTATATTTTGGAAAGTAATTTTGGGGTTTTAAGAGTAAGAAATTGTACCACACTTGATGGTGTTTGTAGTTCAACTTGACCAGGTTTAAATTTCTTTTTTACTATGGATTTAATTTGTTGATATTCTAAAAATCTTTTCTTGTTGATCCCATATTGTGTAACTAGTCTGTCAAATGGAATAAATTCTGTTCCTTCTACTATATGTTCTAAGTATTTGATTGATTGTTTTGTAATATGTCAGGGTTGTTCTAGATAGGTGTACGTTTGTATGGGATTAATAAAGACTCTGTCAATTTTAGAAACTCCCACCATGCTGTCAGATGATAAATGGTAGGTCTGAAATCTCTAGATTATTACAAAGTGGTTGTTCTACATCTAGCCAAGGTTCGTCTAAGAAGGTATGTTTTAGCAATCCTGAGATAAATTGAAGCCTGAAAGTTAGGTAGATCTAATCCTCCTTTATCCTTGGTCTTTTGTAGTGTTTTTAAGCTTATACGTGGTGGTTTATCTTTCCAAAGGAATTTAGACATATATCTAGAGATCTGAACCAATCTTGTGGTGGTTTAGTTGGGATCATTGAGAATAAATAATTTATTTTTGGTAAGACCATCATTTTTATAGCAGCAACCCTTCCCTTGAGTGATATGGGTAGACATTTCCATCCAGCCAGATCGTCTTTTACTTTTCTTTAAAAGTGGGATATGGTTTAATTTAGTTAAATCTGCAAGCTTGGGAGAAACATTAATACCTAAATATTTTATTTTTCCCGATTGCAGTTGTGTAGAAGAAGAATTATGGAAGGAGCAATTAATCGGAAGGACTGAAGATTTTGACCAGTTAATTGAATAATCTGATACTCTTGCAAAAGAGTTTATCAATGCAATTACCCCAGAAAAAGTAACACATCATCCGCATAAAGACTGATTACCAAATTTGTGTAAAGTTGCAAATAAAAATTTCCAGTTAACCCAAGGTTTACATTTATAAGGGATATTGGACGACAGCTTGAGGGATAAACAGGATCTTTGCCTGGTTTTAGCAGGAGTTTTCAACTATTTTCTGAGTAAATGAGAATGAGGGTTTGTGTTCTATGTGAAAAATAACAAAAAATAATATTAAAGACAGTGCTTACATTTTTATTTGATTCTTTTAGTTTTATAAAGATATACTTTATTTATTAAAAAATGTGAGATGTCCGTATTAGTGCCAATTAAGTGCCACAGTTAAATACAGTATAGTCAATCAAAATAGCTTAAAAAGAAAAAAACAAATACTCACTATGAAAGAGCTATGTTTATAATAAATAAAGTAAATAAAGGAGCTCACAAGTAAAAAATACACAACAAATCAAACACATCTGTGAAGTAAAATAAAACAACAAAATGATAATAATAATAATAATAAAATAATATAAAATAGCAGAATACAAATACAAATGATGCACTAAAATGTGCTGGAGGAGACGGGCCAAGCACTGGATGCTGAGGTGAGCAGTTAAGCAGCAACAGGAGAATGAAGACTTCCTGCAACTGAAAGCTAAATATTTATTTTATGGTGCAGAGGATAGTTAATTGAGTTAACTATAATTTTTATAAAATCATCAAGTCGAATCACCTTGCATAGAACATGCACAGTTAAAGGTTTCCGAGCAGTTTCGCTGGTGTCCACCAGAGGGCAGCACCTGTCTGATTTGTGGGTGCTGTCAGCGCTCTTCCTCTCGGTACTTTGTTTACTTCTGCTTCCGTAGCTTCTAGCTAGCGCAACCCCCGCTGTCTTTAAAACCTCTTCCCGTGCTTCTAGAGTAACACGTATCCTAAAATGTCTTCACCGCTTCTTCTCAGGGCCTTCGTGACCGAGCGCCTGACAGCCGCCGCGGAGGAAATATTTCAGGTGTTTGAGAGGACGATAGCAAAATACGAGGAAGAAGCGAGCAGCTCCCAGCAGGAGATCGAGCGACTCAGAGGTCTGCTGCTGGAGTTCATGACAAACCAGAAAAGAGGTCTGTGGGGTCTTATTTTTTACTTATCTGTGGGTGTTCGACTAGACTGGAATTATTAACCTAAAATGTAACCTTGCAGAGGAAGTTTATTTTCTGCAACGTAATTTGTGAAGTGTGTTTAATTCTATTTAACACTTTAATTTGTGCTCCAGCAACTGACTGGAAGACAGTCTAAAACTCATATTATTTCTGATTTTCCTCAATGAGGAATTTTGAAATGTTGTGAAAAAATAATAGTTACGCATTAAATATTTACTTAGTAGTAACTAAGATATGGTTTGGGGCCACCTGATCCAGCACTAACTATAAACTTTTATCAAAATGTCAAGTTTCTATTGTGATCTTAAAAGTAAAGAGGGTATCGGTCTCCTGAAGCCAAAGTGGGAGCTGGGTCCACAGCAGATGGTCCTGATAGTTGAAGGCCCAGCCTCCCATTCTACTTTTAAAAACTCTAGGAAGTGCAAGTAAGCCTGCAGTCTGAGAATAACGTGCACTGTTTGAATAATAAGGTACTATGAGGTGTTGTGGTCACTGTGTTGGGGCCTGATTATTCAAGACCTCATACTCTCATGTGAAAAAGTTGATTCACTGCACCCACATCATTCAGTAGGTTATGGAACCATTTTTAGCTGCAGTGACTTGAAATAATCGCTTTCTGTACAACTATACATCTCTGGGGTTACATCTTGAGATTTCTGGGCATTTGTTTACACACAGCTCTCTTAAGGTTCCACCACAGCATTTCAGTCAGATGAAGTCTGGACTTTGATTGCGCCACTGCAACATCTTGAATCTTTTCTTTTTCAGCTATTCTGGTGGAGATTTGCTGCTATGCTTGGCAATGCGTTCTGTTACATAACCCATTTTCAGCCAAGCTTCAGCTGTCAAACAGATGGCCACACATTTGTCTCTAGAATACTTTAGTACAAAGAAGTGTTTGTTTGCAAGGTGCCCAGGACCTGTGGCTGCAAAACAAGCTTTAAATCATTACCCCTCCACCACCAACAGTCGGCATGACATTGTGTCAGAAGTCGTGGGGTTTGCTCTAAGCTCTGCTGCCCTGTTTCTTTTTAGAGAGAAGAGGCTTTCTCCTGGCATCCCTTCCAAACAGCCATACTTGTTCAGTACTTTTCTAATTGTACTGCCATGAACTTTAACATTACCAATTTTAACAACAGAGTCCTATAGAGCCTGAGATGTAGCTCTTGGGTTTCTTTCAGCTTCAGGGGGTGAGTTGGGGTGAACGTCCACTCCTGGGAAGATTGTAGTATTGTGTTAACACACACCTGAATGCTCCAGACCAGCAAACTGCTGATATCTGCTTTTTATCAGTAAATGATAAGCTTTTAGTTCATTTGTATTTGATCATCTGAAAGCTTTTAAAGGACCTTTTGAGAGTAACAAACATGATTGTTAATCCTTGTTTATAGTAATAAAGTAGTAAAAGAAAGATTACATTTTCTTTTTCAGATGTTCTTCAGTTGTCTGTTTGTAAAGAGGAGTCACCGCCCGAGCAGGAGCCATGTGAGCGCACACCGAGCATCAGCGTCCATAAGGGCAATGCAGAGCCTCGACATATTAAAGAGGAAGACAGCGAACTCTGGGCTGGTCAGGAGCAAGATGAAAAACAGGCCGAAGAGTTTCATGATGCTGATGCCTCATATCCACCTCACTCTTCTGTTTGGGAGGAAAATGAGCTAGAGGACACAAAACCATCTCTCCAACCTGAAGTGCAAAACTGTGAACGTGATGAGGAGTTTCTGGAGGAGCAGGAAACCAGAACTGCTCAGTTCATTTTGCCTCTCACATTGACATCTTCTTCACAAACACTAGCCCAAAGTGAAAGCGTCCAGGACGGAAGGGAAAGCGAAAGACCTGCTGCTAGTTTTTCATCAGAACAAACCCAGGCACCCTTTAGCACTTTCAGAGAATCCACTGAGTTACCTCATTTTAACACTGCTGCACCTGACTATCATTGCCATTTGTGCAATAAATCGTTTTCCTCCAGCCATCACCTGATAAATCATGCTTTCCACGTGCATTCAGCAGACGCAGGTGCCATCTGTGCCGTGTGTGGAAAGATGTTTGAATCCACCGAAAGCCTTAACATGCACCTCAAATCGCACAAGGGCTCAAAATGTTGCCACATGTGCGGCAAGCAGTGCAACAGCACGACCGCACTGACCGAGCACATGGCGAGCCACGCCGGGGTGAAACTGCATCGTTGCCACGTGTGTGGGAAAGAGTGCAGCCGCAAAGGGGATTTAAAGATACATATGAGGATTCACACGGGCGAGAAGCCTTTCTGCTGCTCCTTTTGTTGCAAAAGTTTCACCCACAGCGGACACCTGAGGAAGCACATGAGAAGCCACACAGGCGAGAGGCCTCACCGCTGTGGTATCTGTGGCAGAGGGTTTCTACAGAGTGCACACTTGAAATATCACCTGGGGACTCACACTCAGAAATATTGACTCATTCATCCCCCTGGGCTCATATTTAATAATGAAAAATGTTCAAAAGAGACGCCAAACTTTGCTGTAAAGAGCAAGAAGACCCATTATAAAGGTGTCAGTAACGTTTAAAGTGGGTCTAATTTAATTATTTTTAGCTCCATGTTTTTGTTCTTGGGCATTGCATGATTCACAGTTCAAAATAATCTTTATTTATCCTATTCTGGTCCTCGGTGCAGCCCACCAGTTCATCTACTGCCTGAAAAACATGTTTTTAGGTCCTCTGAGCAGCACCCTTGTAAAAACAAGTCTCTGCACTCAGCAGCAGGTTATTATTTTGAGAAATCGATTGAAGCATGAACTAAATTAACTTGAATTTTAATGCTGCATGTATAGAATCACCAGTTAAATCTCAAAACTAAATAAAGCACTTTAAAATGTCCGATGACTTCCCCTAAAATACAAGTTAACTCTTTGTTGTTTTGTAGTTTCTCTTTAATAGCTGCTATCAGGTGACACTGTGATTAATCGTCTGTATGTTCTGATGTATCTGATTCATTTTCTTTAATAAAAGTCACATGTCACTGAAAGATGTGTTATAGAAAACAAAAGTGGAGCAGAAAATGAATTCTTAACTTGGGTTTTAAATAAAAGCGTTTGTTTATAACATTGTGACAAGATGCATGAAAAGAAAGCTGCAAACCTCTTTTAAATTTAAACAGTGTAAACAGCTAAAAAGTAAAGTGAAGGAAAAGTATTTTAACAGTTTGATGAGCGCAGGCTCTGAGCTTCACACTATGTTTCTCTTTACTGTTGACATGACCTCTGATCCCCACTTTGAGCAATAACATTGCCGATAACGTCCAGTTTGTAATAATTGCTTTTATACAACAGAATCTGAATGGTGTTAAATCATCAGTTTATTTTGCTCAGAAAGAACAAACTGGGACACGGTGCACTTTTCCACTCTTATTTTTCAAGTAAGCAGATGTTCAGCAGATGTGCTCTCTGGTACAGCTGCAGCTCGCCTGGTCATGCAAACTTAAAACACTGTCACACTTTCAGAGTCGTGTGCTGACCTCTTCATCAACCAAATCTCTTCTGCTCTTTGATTCATTAATTATAACCTTTATTATTAAAAGTAATTTTCCTACTAATCATCCCACTGACATTTTTTCACATACGTACTTCCTGTAATCTTTGGGTACACCAAGAATAATTTACTGTTAAGAGCAATTATAATAGCCAAACAATATCCATTCGTCCGTTCTCTTCCACTTATCCAATTCGGGGTCGTGGGGAGGCGGGAGCCTATCCCAGCACAAACACTGGGAGAACATGCAAACTCCAGTAAACATATATGACATGTTTGTGTGATAACCTATCAGGTTCAGTCCTCCTAGGACTTGCCCATATTTAAGGGCTGTCCAGGAGGCATTCTGGTTGGATACCCAAACAATGTGAAGACATCTCTATCTGTAAGGGAGAGCCTAGACATTCTTGACAATGAGCTCATGTCTGCATACACCAACAATTTAATTTTTCAGTCACAACCCAGAGCTCATCGCAAAGGCTGAGGGTCAGAATATATATGAGCCTATAAATGGACAGCTTCATAGTGAGCTCTCTCTTCACCACTGCAGACACGATTCACCTGCAACCCCAAAACATTTATATTTTTAAAAAGCAATAACACACAACAAAGCTGCATTGTCACATCATTAGGAACAAATAGATAGAAATGATGGAATGAAAATTATTTGTGTCTGTATGATAAATAATGTTCTGGTCACATTTCAACTAATTCAAAGCAGTAGGTTCTTATTACAGATGAATGTAGCTCAGTACTGATTTATTTTTTAGAAATGAAGATTTGCATACATGCAGAGTCATATTTTTCTGTGCTTCCCATCACTAAAAAAATAATAATGAGGGTTTGGTTATACTTGATTAGTGCATTAGTGCGTACGCTGAGCTATATTTCTATGTAAAGATGGACAACGAGTGCTGAATTGTTTTTTTTTCTACTAACGGAAGAAATTCAGAATCAGCTTAAAAGTTTAAAAAACATCTACATAGCAAAGCTTTTCTTTTTTTTTGTTTCTGTTCCTCTGTTTCTTTTTCAGTTCTTCTTTTTTTGGTCTCAAAGGGACGCTTTTCTTTACCAGCTAGATGTTTTACATTCATCACAAGTTTGTCACTAACTTCATACTGGGCGAGAGCTCTTGGGGAGTCTCTGTGATGCACAGCCAGCAGGCTCTGGTCACATGACCTCATGTACCTGCAGAGAATCTCTGGATGTAAAAGTTCACTGGTTGTTTCTCCATCCAGGGCTTTAAAAGTCAAAACAAGAGACATGTTTTGCCTTCATGCTGTAGATGAGTTCAAGAGTATCTGAATGTAACTCTGAAAGTAAACAATCTTCAGATGTCAGTTTGGAAATGGAACCTCCACAGTGTGCTGTAGTGGTGAATTATCATGGGCTACTACAGTCTAATGAATAAGAGTGTTTATTTTCAAGATGATTGCTTCTCTCTAGAAGTGTGTTTGCTTACGGTGGCAAACTGCATTGTCATTTTTACAGCACCATTCATTCAAATATGCAGCACAGAGGTCAACGTGACAAAACAACACAGTTTTAAAAACAGATTTAAAAAAGTAAAAGAAGAGCTGCAATTATCATCAATTATGTGGACAAGAGAAGCCAAAAGCAGGACACCAGAGATAGAATGATTGATGAAAAAAACAAGCATTAATGCTGAAATAAGTCCAATAAAATAACAAAGTCCAGAACAAAGTAAACAGAAATCAGAAGATAAACACAAGGACCCAGGGAATAGATCCAAAACCATCAAAACAGTCTGCACGCGAGTGAATATTTGTACACTGAGCGCAGGTTGGGAAATTTGGGAGTGAATTATATCATTGTGCATTAGGTACCTGTTCAGCTGCTCATTAACACATATATCTAATCAGCCACATGGCAGCAACTCAATGCATTTATACATGAAGATATAATCAAAACAACCTGCTGAAGTTAAAGCTGAGGAACAAAGATGGTTTAAGTGACCAAGGCGCCAGACTGGCTGAAACTGCTGATCTACTGTGATTTTCCCACACAACCACAAAACGCAAAAAGTATCCAGTGAGCCATGAGTGTAGCTAGTACTCATGTGCTCTCATTTTTCTAGGCTAACTAGTTTTACATGTACAAGAGAAGTTATCACTGATTAATTCAGGATGTGCACATGCATAGTGCAAACTGACAAAATAATTCAGTTCAGTTACAAAGAAAAAGTCCTTTATTTTTTAAACTGAGTGATATATATGACCCCCAGTTTAAAACACAGAGAGTGTGCTGTGCAGTGTGTGTATGTGTGTTTTGATTGGTTAATAATGGAGCTTACCCTGAAACGTTTGCCCACTTCACTTCAGCCTGAGAAGAAAATAATTTACCACTAGGTGGTACTGCAAGAACCTTTATTTATCTGTCCAACTTCTCAGCCGGTGTAAGAAAATATATTTTCCCACCTCCAGTAGTTGATTTTTGAACATTTTAATTGTTGTATTTAAGCTTGCCTCACAATCCTGCTTAATCATGACATGTAGCACATCTTAGTCAACTAAACGAACTCTGTTCATGCATTGATTTCAAAAACCTTTATTAAACTTGGTATTTACTCCTCAAATGTTTTTTCTGTCATGGTTTATATTTTTTCTAGAGCTTTCATTTTTCAATTTTAATCACTCACTCTTGAGAACAGCAGCTGGAAAGCTACATTCGCCATCATCTATGACTTATTAAGGAACTTGTTAAGCCTTTTTTTTTAGGCCTTTCCCAAGAATCACTTCCATGTGGCCTAAACGTTTCACACAGAACAGCAGCACATTCAGGAATCTCAGTGTTTGGGAAGCTGCTTCAGGCGATTCAGATTGAAAAAGCTAAAGAGCATAATCAGGCCTCAGTGACCCCAGAGCCTAAAACTAACTGCCCTAATCTGGTTATGCAACCACCCACAAAGACACGGGATCATCAGCAGACACCACTGGATCCTTGGAACCTATTTCCCACATGTCTGTTCATGTCCAGCCCAAATGGGGACTCAGTGGCTCAAACCTCACCAGATAATTTGTTTACAGTTCCCTTATGTGGCTTGATGTGCTTCAATCACTACTTCATTATAGACAGTCTGAGCTACAGCAAGTAAGAGTGTATAGTCTCTATAAAGCAGCAGTGTTTGATCCTAACTAAGGTTATTTGATCAAATCCTCCCATACCTTGCTGAGAAAAAAAAACAGTCAAGTGGTTAATCTCCTGCGATTTAAATTATGTGAAACTTACGCAAGGGAATTGGAGGAATTTTCCTTATGTGGGTCAGGACGTGTCTCACAGTTGAGCTCATGAGAAGAAGGGTTATGCTTTTCTCAGTGTGTGTGTTTGTGTGTGTGTCTGCAGGGTGTCTGAGAAGTAATATTGTGCACTGAGTATAGTAATAAGACTTTGAATTGAGCTGAGATTCAGCAATGATCAGGAATTTTACAAACCCAGGGTCGCATAACAGGGTCAGTGAGTTACTCTCCATCCCGTCCAATGAAGGAAACACACAGGACGAACATTTGAGGGGAATGCAGTTGTGGATGAGGAGAGATGTGCTCTCCCTCACACACGATCGCCCACTGTTAGGTTGGGTTTGGTGTGGAGGAGGACAGCAAACGTGTCAAATAAAACATGCATGCATAGTCACACTAATAAGTAGAGTGTTGGCAAATAGAAATAAGTTGCATCATGTTCACATATTTGTGAAAATGCACCGTGAATTGCACACCAGATATTTCTGTGAGTTCACTGAGTAAATATCTGAATACTGGTGGACCTTTCTGTTTTTGTTTTGCGGGTCTCTGATGTTTTAAATGGCATAAACTCAAACACAGTTGGTGGAAAAACCTTGAAGCAGGCCACATGACACATTTACCCTTTTTTTTTTCTTTTTTTTTTTACCTTCTTTTGCTAATCCCGCAATATATAAATCAGATGCTGGACCCTTTGAGATGAAAGGAGCTCCAAAGAAGAAAGAATAACTGATGATGATGCTGCAGCTGGGGGTAGAAGCTGTTTCCTCACATGCCCCAGCTCTCTGCACAGAGCTGGATCAAGCAAAGCCTCGTTTGTCATCTGTTACCTTATTTATAACAAACCAGCAACATGAATAAAAAATGGAATTCGGGGTTACAAAATAAACCATCTGTGCTGTAAAGCATCCACAGAAGGCACGTACATTTCTTATCCAACATTAAGTGAGAAAAAAACCCCAACCATAAATATGATTTCCTTCTAATTTATTGGTGAGATTCAGAATATACCATCACTAATTCAAGCAAACATTTCTCAAATTACACCCTCCTTTCTCGATCACCAAGTTAATCCCCGAAAGGGAAATCTTATCTCTGCACCGGAATTCGCTCATAAATACCGGGTTTAAGCTATTTTTTGAAAAAAATATTTAATTAAAAAATGTCTCACTTCTTACAGATTCGCAACAAACCGATCTACTCTGTAACAATAAATACCTCTCCGTGTTTTTAATGAAAATAATGCCATATGGGTTGCATTTTCTTATCAGCACTCCCCGATGAAAAATCCACCAAGTCACGAAATGTTCATCCAGAACATGCCTGAGAAATATTCACTGATAGTGTATCTAATTAGTTTCCAAGTCTTTACAACGATTTGAGCCATGTTTAGTTTTAAACACAGACAGCTGCAGTATATGTAGAAGATGGGACCTGGGAGGATGCATTTAAACGCTGAGCTTTGTGCACACACTATCCAATCTGACCACTTCCCCATGACTTACCTTAAAAATGTTTTTTTCTCCCAGCTAGCACTGTCATTTCCATGCAGTTTTATTTGGGGAAAATAAATTAATAGTGCAAAAACACTCTTATGCGACTGTTATGTTTTTTATAGTTCTGAAGAAGAGTAGGTGGCTGCTGGTCCACAACAGTGCGAGACAGACTGTGGTGCCAAAATGCACGGACGAATACTTAGATATAGGTAACTGTGTCCTCTCTCTCTCTGACCCAGTATTAAGCTCTGGTTGTAGTTTTAAAAGGATTATAATCTGGTGGATTATTTGTAAAAACC